AAGCAGTGACTTCCCCACAGGCAGCCAGGAAAACGAGGCTGTGAAAACAGAATTCACGAGAAGGGCAAAACAGGAGCCAAATCCAGCCCCCACCTGCTTTTATACAGCCCATGAGCTACAAATGATCGTTATGGTTTTAAGTGGTTAGAAAAAAATCAAAAGAATAATATTTTGTGACACATAAAATTCAAATTTCAGTGTTTATAAATAAAGTTTTATTGGAGCACAGCCATAAACATCTGTTTACATATTGTCTATGGCTGCTTTCGACAGAGTTGAGTAGTTATGACAGAGACCATAAGGCCTTCAAAGTCTAAAATATTTACTCTCTGGCCCTTTAAGGAAAAGTGTACTGTGCTCTAAAATGTTAGAAACAATGTGTTATGTACTCAAAAGGACTTGCTTTCTGAGGAAGGAGCAAGCCAGTAGAATCTGGGCTTTGTGGCAGGCCTGCCAGGGAGACACTGGGTGGGGAAGCTTTCCTGATCCTTCCAGTTCCATTTGAGGGGTTGAGGGGAGATGCTGTCTAGACCTGCAGGTGGGGCTACTTCTATCCATATGGGGATAGGGGGACAGACTGACTGGAGACAGTGGGGTTCAGGCCTATGACTCATTCTAGCTGGGTAGACAGCAGGACTCAGAGGGGATTAATGGCCTTCAGTGAGCCCAACCCACCAGCCTCCCTGCCTGGCTGGTAACAGTGATTTTACCTGAGGCCCTTCATGTCCCTAGAGAGCACTACATTCATTGCTCACCTCTCTCCTTCCTCTGCAGAATTTGCCTTCTGCCAGGTGGATGCCTCCATTGCTCTAGCTCTGGCCCTGGCTGTCCTGTGTGACCTGCTCCAGCAGTGGGACCAGCTGGCCCCTGCACTGCCCATCCTGCTGGGATGGCTGTTGGGAGAGGGTGAGGACCTTGTGGTCAGTGTGGAGACCATGCATCAGGTAATCCCAGGGTGTTAGGGCAGTGGGAGGCAGGGTTGGAGTGTCCTAAACCCACAGGATGTAGCACTTACAAGCCTAATTGGGCTTAATGTGCCTGCTGAAAGTGTGCTTCTGGATGCTTAGATACAGAACAGGAACTGATTAGGAAAGTTGCCTGCTGTGAGCCACTGTGGGCACTGGGGATGCTGTCATGCTGACTTTTTGGGTTCCAATGGCAAGCTTTCAGATCAGTCGGAGGAGAGAGAACTTTGAAAGAAGCTCCTTGCACAGTGTGGAAAGTATGGAGAATGCTTATTAGCTCCCCACAGTTAGGTCTAAGGGTAAAGCATTTCCCAACAATTAGGGGCCTTCCAGGGAACTTGTTCCTTGGAAAAACTATTAGCCCCCTCCAGGGAGGGCACATAGGGAAACTGAGGACCAAGCCAAGCAGCAAAAGCATCCTGAGAACTGAAACTCATTGCCACCAGTGTCTGACTCAGCTGGACTTCTTGGCACCCCCAGCAGGCCAAGAGTTCAAAAAGCATCCTGTTTATGGGAAATTTGGAGACATGATAGTGTCTGTGATAAAATGACCTTGACAATCACCAGCATTATAGAAAGTTGGTCTCATACACAGAAACTAGTGTCTTTTGTTTGGTAATCTTTGCTCTTTGCTGCTGAGATTTTCCTTCCTCCCTTCTCTATGATTTTTAGATGCACCTTAAGGTTTAGGGCCCACTCCCTGGTGTAGGACCCCTTTTCAGCATCAGGCCCCCCAAAGTATCTTGGCTTTGAGCAACAAACACATCTTTATCAAAGGGCATGTTAAGTCTGGTGGGAAAATTCCTCTCTGGTGGAGAAGTACAAGGAGTGAAAATAGAAGGTGATCTTCAAGGCTGCAAGTGGTGTGTGTACGTGGGTGTTGACAGGCGAGAGTGGGCCTTCTGTGTGGGGAAGGGGACACACCTCGTTTGTATCTGGCAGGGCTGTGCTTGGTCTAGACTGGGACTTGTCAACATTCCCTGTAAGACTGACTTTTGGCTTTTTCATTTGATTTAGGTGGAAGAAGACTACCTGTTTGAAAAAGCAGAAGTCAACTTTTGGGCTGAGACTCTGATCTTCGTGAAATACCTCTGCAAGCACCTCTTCCATCTCCTCTCCAAATCTGGCTGGCGTCACCCCAGCCCTGAGAGGCTCTCTCACATTCAAAAGACTGTGTCAAAGCAGTGCCACCTCCTTTCTCACCTCTTCAGAGAGCTTCCACCAGCCGCTGAGTTTTTGAAGACAGTGGAGTTCACAAGACTACGCATCCAGGAGGAAAGGATTTTGGCTTGTTTGAGGCTGCTAGCCTTTTTGGAAGGAAAAGAAGGAGAAGACACCCTAGTTCTCAGTGCTTCAGATTCTCTCGCAGAAACCAGTTAACTATTCCAAGAACAGAAACAGCATGTTGAAGACAGAAGATTTGGGGGGCTGGGGCAGGGGTGAGCGAATTATTCCTCCACTAAAGCTGCAGGAAACATGTTGAACATAAATTTAAAAAAATTTTCCCCTTCATATCTCTCCTGTTTTTGTGAGTCTAATCTCCTGTCACTCTTGCAGAGGAATTTTTCTTCAGTTTACTCACTCAAGGTAGACTAGTTTATTGCAGCTACTGTAGGAAGTGAGGCTACCATGTTGAATATTTACTCTGTTCCCAGGTGCAGGCCACCTGCAGGCCTGAAATAGCCCTTTTTGTCCCCCAGGACCTAATGTCCAGCCATAGCCATTCTGCATTTTCCGTGAATTGACTACACAGAATTGGGTTTTAATACACATGATCCCCCCTGCTTTTTCTGGTTGTATGTAGGGGCTAGATAGTTGGCAAACAGCCCATTTGGTCAGATTTATAAATTTTATTACATTTTAGTAAAGCAGAAATATGTTCCACATGTTGGATCCTGGGAGAATTAAGGATCAACCTCATACAGATAATTTTGTTTTCATTGTCTGCATGTGTAAAAGTCCCACAGTGACTTACACATTCCTTCCTAAATTAAAAGAGGCATTGAGAGCTCCCCTTATCCTCTAAAAAAGAATTTATGCTAGTGCTAGGAAACCTAATTTTGCCACCCAGTAAAAGCATATTCTCTTGCTTGTTAGAAGAAACCTGGGGAAAGGGGAGAGCCAGAATAAATGATTTATTTGATGTCTACACTTTTACTATCACTTGCTTGGTGGCAGTAATAGGAAGATTCTCATTTAAGATACCAATGAAGTTATCCCTTTCTGCTTTTCCATCCCAGCCCAGCCCTTTTCCTCAGACACCCAGCAGGTGGCACTCTTGCATACATTTTGCTGCTGGTCCTGTTTTTTCGTTAGTTTACAATTATATTTATAACTTCAGAATAAGTGTTAGCCACAGTTATCTTGCAACTCATAGCTTGAGTGGGTTGTAGCCTCATTCGCATTCATTTTTGATCCTAGTTATCTGAAAAAGCCATTTCAGTCATAGTATATAAACTTGTACCAGCATTCAGGGTCTGTAAATATTTTTAATTACTTCTCAGGTGAGTGGTCACTTAGAATTATTTTACTGATGTTTGAAGATCTAAAGGAGCAGGTTAGAGAAGAGAGTTTGATATGATTACTTCCCACTGCAGAAAAGCTGATAATTTCCAATGTAATTTGTCTCTCTGAGAGAAAGCCTCCTAACACTAAAAACACAGCTGTACTGGAAATATAGAGAAAGGACTCTGAAGGAAGAGGCAGGAGAGAAGTTCACTCAGTATGCAAAGTTTTGTACTAAAGAGAACAAGAAATTCCCTGGGTGGCTTTGCAACCATTCAGCCCCAGTATAGAGAAAGGACTCTGAAGGAAGAGGCAGGAGAGAAGTTCACTCAGTATCCAAAGTTTTGTACTAAAGAGAACAAGAAATTCCCTGGGTGGCTTTGCAACCATTCAGCCCCAAGCAAGGTTTTTGTGATCCTGAATTACCTAGTTAGGCATCTGGGTAGCCCGCACCTAATGGAAGTTTGCCAGCCTAACACTTCTTTTTTGTTCTAGCTTCTAGCTGGTGAGAAGTCAGGGACTTAGTGGTGTAATGTGGTGATAACCATGGTAGAATAATTATGAAACTGGCCCAACAAAGCCCAATGCATTAGAAAAGGGCCATTCTCCTTTTTTCTTCATTTAAAACAAAATAAAAGCAGTTACATAATAAAAAAAAAATATTTTACACTACCAGGTACTCTGTACCAAAGCATGTACCGTAACATGTTTACATGTTCTCTCCAGAATCCTTCCACCAATACTGCAAAGCGGGTGTTCTCATCACTGTTGACTGGGAATTACCCCAGATTTTGATCTTCGCTGGCTCTGGCCAGCATGGGAGGACAGGAGGGACAGCTGTTTCCACTGGTTTGAATCTGAAATCGTGTTACTAACCTAATAGCAAGGGCTAGGAAAATGGCCATGTCACACTTGCCTGATGCATTTCCAGGGGAAACTTGGAAAACCCTACTCTCAAGGCCACCTTCAAACTCTTGTGTTTAGGGTCATTTCAACAAAGAACAAAGCAGTTTCAGGTACAGTTGCCCAGCCCTGTCTAGGGCCCAGTGCAGGGTGGGTGGTAAGAGTGAGGGAGTCACCTATCCTGAGGTCACTGCCCACCTTTGACTATGAGCACTAGCGTCCAAGATTTGGGTACCTCTATAGCTCTGCACTCATGCTGCTGCAGACCTCCATCCATCTGGCTGTAGCCCAGAGGCCTGGCTCTCTCCATTTTCATGCTTTGTCAATTTGTTTTAATACATAACGATGGTTTGTACTGGTTTATCTTTTAAACACCTTCACAGATATTTCATTTGCTCCTTGACAATGGTGAGAGATGAGTAAAGCAAGAATTTTATCTTAGTTTTACAAGGAAATCCAAGTACCAAAGAGATTATGTGATTTGCCAAAAACCACATGACTTATAATGCTGAACTCCAGCCCTGCATTTATGATCCTCAAGTCCTCTCAGCCCTACCCTGACCTCTACCTCCCTGGGCAGTGAGGGACATAGGGCAGTGAGAAATTCAGGCTGGACTCAGTTCCCTGAGTGACAGGCCTTCCTATTCCGTTCCAGGATGGAACTGAGTGCAAGGAGACAGTGAAAGGAAGATCAGTTTGGAAACGGGGTGCGGGTCAAGTAGCTTCCTTCCCTGGCGGGTCCTGGACCTTCCAGCTCAGGCCCAACTGCGGTCTGGGCTGCCAGATGGGCCAAATCGTGGGCCCCGGCTCCAGCTTTTTGGCAGCCTGTGTAGACGCGGAGTGAGAAGTGTCCTGCACTGGATTCCAAATCGGCCTGAGTGGGGCTGTCAGCGGCTTTAGCCTCACTGGGCGCTAGGTGGGGGTGTCTGCCCCGTACCCAGATGGGGGCGGGGTGCCAGTTGGCAAAGCGCATTTCCCAGCGCAAGCCGTTGGGGTGTGGGGCTGGCGAGAGGAGCCTGCCCACCGTCCGCGTCCTGGTGCCCCTCCTGGGCCGCGGGTCGGCCTCAGCCGGATCCCGCAGCCCGCACCGAGCTAAGGCGGGGCGCGGCGCTCTCCCTGGCCAGGAAGGGAGGGGGCTTGGAGAGCGGGACAGGCCAAGTCTGCGCCGCGAGGGGAGCCTCGGCTGGCAGCTGTACCCCAACCCCCGGGAGGGCCGACCAGCAAACGGAAGGGGTGGCGGGAAGTCGCCTCCATGCCTCCAGAACTCTCCCGGCCTTTCCTCCCGTCTTCCAAGTCGGCTCCCCCACCCGGGACGCCCCGCGCCACTCTGTGCCTTTGGCCCTGGCTCAAGGTCTTGTGATGTGATTAGCAAAGCCAGCGCCTTGTCCTCAGACACTCAGCCCTACCCGGCAAGCCCCGGCGCTCAAGCCCTGTTTACTGAGCCTGGGCAGGGAGGGGGGCGGAGAAACGGGCCCGGGCTCCTCCGGGCAAGACTGCCTCAGCAGCCGCCCGCGTGGCCGCTGCCGCCCCGCCCCCACCGCCCCTCCACGTGCAGTCGGGCCGGAGCCTCCACCTACGGGACTCAGGCCCGGAGCCCCAGCCCGCCGGCCAGAGCACCCTTTGCAAACCGGCCGGGCAGCGCGAACGGTTGCAGTATTTTTGCATTTTGCAATTCCCGCGCCCAGTACAAAACCGAAGGTGGGAGATAGAAGTTCTGCAAATCCGCCTAGCAGGACCGGGCGGGGGAAAACACGTCCAGAGCTGCAGAACCCCGGCAACGTTAAACCTGCTGGGGCTTCCCAACACTGCAGCTCCCGAGGAGGGAAGCCGTAT